ATACTGTCCTTCAGAAACATTATTCACGCCCCTCCCCCTTTTGATTTATCAATATTTTTTTAAGTAGAGAAGCTCCCAAAGAGGCATGGATCAATGTTCTCATCCCACTCCCCATTGGTACCTGGACCAGGCAAGGGAAGACAATGATCCACCTAACAGATTAAAATCAGTGATGAATTTGTACACGTGCAAAGTAATAGTATGATCCAAAACTAACACTATTCTATATGGGATCTCACCATTTCATATGGAGAGGGACTACCAACTTCTTGTCCTGTGAAGTGATACTTAACATTATGCTGCCCAAAAGCACCTTAGCTATCCTTCCCCTTCAGTTTGTGTCTTTCAAGATTTACTCCCATTTTGTTCTTCCTTCCTCTGTTTCCAGCCTTGATCATGACACTATCAATTTAACTGTATGACTTTCAAGTTTTATTTTTAACAGTTTAACCAAAGTAGCTTACAAAAATATGTGGTATCAATTTGACATAAATGAGCCATGCAAACAGAAACAAATATTTAACTTAATTATTTCAATACTTAACTAAACAAAATGTCAATGAATGTTGCAATAAAGCACAATAATGATAAGGGATATGCTGTTTATGAAATAAAAATGGCTTTCCTATCAGAGATTACTTTATATTTTCTATGGAAGCGCTACAACTTGTACGTACAAGATTTCTGACAATCACGGGAATTCTAGCTTTTCTACAATATGTGCAATGTGTGAATAGATAGAATGTCCCCCCTGTGTATCAGTACAGCTGGTGTATCTCCATAAACTGCCAAGTATTACAGACCATGAACACCTGCATTCAATACACAATCTCTTTAATACAATAAAAATGTTTGTAGTTCAGATTTTACCCAAGTGTGGAACATTTAGAACTAACAGGATATATAAATAAAAACATTGCATGAGGTCAAATGGGAAATTGCAAAGCTGGTTCAACATCATTTAAAGGATTTCAGGAGAGATTTTTTGTTTGTGTTTCTTTTTCCTTTTTCTCTCTATTTTTAAACAGTTCATTTTTTCAAAAGAACGATTACGCAACAGGATGTCATTTTAATCACACACATTTGTGATTTCACAGCCACATGCCCAAGCAAAAAAAAACCCCACCAAATGAGTTAATCACATTATGTTATTGCACTTATATGACTGAAGGGATTTTGTATTGGTTTCTAAACCTATGCTTTGCATTTGATCATAAGCATTTATGAAGAATTTTCACAAGGTACCAATGACTTAAATGAATATCTCACTGTTTTAGAGAAGTTATGTCACAAGAGAAAGCAAATAATTGACCCAACTCTGTTCTTCATTTATAAATATCCTTTCTATCAGGTGCACTTTTTTATCACAAAAACCCATGTGATGAAATTTGTAACCATATCATGACTCCCTTTTTCATTTTTAAAGGGATAATTTAATTTTCAGTCATAGTAACATAAAAATGCCCAAAGGGAACACCATTCTTATGTATTACCACTGACCATGTCAAGTCAAACCCTGCCCAGGCTGTTAACTATATCAAAGTAAAGCTTCAGCGATCGGTAGTGTGTTTGAAATGCATCAGCTCTGATCCAGAACAGGGATAAAAAGGTCACAGCTCTCCAAACAAAGCCTGAACTCATTAAAGAATGTGTGTATACATGCCAATACGCAGGTCAGTATTTAATTGAAACAATGTTTTACATTTAAACAATAATAAAAAACAGATTGAAAATGAGAGCATGATTCTTTCTGTTTCCCCTTGTTATCATAATCATTCCTCCTGCCCTCCCCACTGACCCCTGCCTGAAGGGAGGAAAAAAAACACTTATTAACCAGGTAAGGATACTGTCAATGGCCTTCCAGGAGGGGGGAAAAAAACCCACATCTCTACCTTGAACCATGGAAAAGATGTATTTAATGTAAGGAAATCTAAGGTCATATATAATATATGCAGCTAAAAAAAAATTTTGAAACTCTCCCCCAAGGAGTACCCGCAGATTTCTTGCTACGCAGGTCTAAACTTTTGAACTCTTATTCCATGCAATTTTTATACTATATCCTAGAAAACAGTGAACAACATTCAATACTTGCTTATCTGAAAGACCCATTTGGTTTCTGCATATGAGTAGATCCCTGCAAATCCGTGGGTATCTGCAAGTATCCAGATCTGCAGATGGAGATATCTGCAGCTCATTCTTGCAGATACAAATACGGATACAACATTCTATATTTGTGCATATATAGATGAGCCTCTTCATAGGATCTGTTGGGAGTCAGATACAGTTTATCTTCTATTGTAAACTGGCTCTCAGAGCACATTTATGTATCAGTTTTGCTTAACCCTATTCAGACACCACCCATGTCCAGTGGATTAATGAGCAGTCAGATTATATTAATTCTGACGAATTCTGCAGTGCCACTCCTGCAGTCCTCTCACAGATCCATAGCCCTTACTCACATGAGTAGTCCTGCTGA